GTCATTTGAAATTCTACCAAACTATGGGCAGCTTAAGAGAAGCCATTGTGACAAAGCTTTTTGTGATAGTTTCTACGTCAATTGGTTATTACCACCTTTCTCTTCGTACAATGTTTTTTCTCATTCGATGGTTCTGATTTTTGTTGTGGCTGTGTCTCCAAATAATTTCCCTGGGAAACTGCTTTCTTTTCAATTAATAAGCAAAACTTTTTTAGGGTTCCTTCACGCTGCTCTGCTGAAAAAGCGTGGTAAAAACTTGTATATGTTTTGTGATGCGTTTTTGGTGTGTTCTGCTTACCTGACTCCCAGCTTGCACCTGTGAAATATGGAGTGCAACTCAAAAAATGCAACAAAAATACAAGTGCAGTGCGATTTTCGATGCGTTTTCCACTGATTTCAATAGGGAGGTTAGTTTCTGATGCATGCACCAAAATTGCAGCATGCAGGATTTTTAAAAACTTGCTGCACCTGCAGCGCATTGGTGTGAAGTGCTCCATAGGATTAAAAGGGATACATTTTTAATGCGTTTTTGTGCCGCTTTTTAAACATCAAAAACTAATCCTTATGAAAGGATCCTCACTGTCTTTATAGAACAATTCATATTCAACTTTTTACTTCTATCTTCAGCCTTCATGCACACTGGCTTAAAAAAAAACAGCTGCTCCTAGAGAGGTTTAATATATTTCCTGTAGAAGAAACTAGTGTCCTAAATAGTTAGTCTACAGGTGTTTGGCATGAAAAAAGCACTTCTCTTTGTGTTTTTGAGAACGTTTTCTAGCAAAAAAAAAAACTCTAACTGCTCCTAAATGCTAGTACAAAAAAAAAAAAAAAACACTCAAAATGAGCGTTTTTTGTTTTTTTTTTTTTCTCTCTCTGCCAAGAGCATTTGCTTTTTTAAGCCAGTGTGCATAGTCTCAAAGTGTGATCCAGAGTTGTTTTCCTAGCACAGTCCCTCATCCCTTTAGCCACATCATACCCCTCTCCACTTCTGGGAGTGTGTAATTATGGTTTGTCTGGCCTAGCTTCTCTGTCCTTCATCTCCCTACATAACTTTTATGTAGCCATCAGGGGAGAAGCAAAGGGGAATACTTTCAATATTCAGCTCTGAGCCTGCTTGGGCATATCACCTCCAACATGGTGGCATCCAGCAGCAGTCTCAGACCTTTTGGATGCCTACACAGAGGAGGCTTTTACAGGTAATTAAAATGCATACATTTTTTAAATTAAAATATAACTGAACGGAAAATTGTTTTTGAAATGGTCTGTTGACAGATCATTTTAACCACTTGCTGTTCCTATATATTTACAACCTGGACTTCAGGGCGTTATGACAAGCTCACAATGCAACTCCAGCCTTGAGCTTAGAACCATGTGTGTTTGTTTTTTTCTTTTCAGCAGGGTGCCAGCTTTTCAGTAAAAGTGATCCTGTACAGCCATCAGTTATAACATTTACTGCACTTAAAGTGCCCCTAATATATCCATATAGAGATCCTGCCCATGCTACTATGCAGAAAGCTTGCTAGCCCCCTTGTGATAGTAATATAGTTAAACAAAACAAAGTGTTAACATTCTTTTTTGTCAAAGGAAAGCTTTTTTAAGCAATTGCAAATATACATGTTCTAGAACAAACCAGGGCCCATTCCATTCTGCAGGGCCACAAGGGGCCCGCAGATATGCTGCAGGCCACAGTAACATACAGGTAAATGCAACCTGTCCACCATCCACCAAACTACGTGTTAACATTTTTTAAAATAAAAAACAAAAAATTTAAAGCAATCCTGTCTCCCTTTGCATACATAAATGCTAACATGCGCACAGGGTGCAGACATGTACAGTATGTAAATAGTGATTGCATTACAGGTGAGATATTGCTGCGAATGGCTGAGAGGGAGAAAAATTCTAGAGACTACTTTACTTTACTTGACACAGCACCTTTTTTATATTTACCATAAAATTGGGTCTTATATTGTGTTTTTGTGTGCATTAAAATTAATTTGTGTATATTTTTCTTTTTACTGAAAATATGCTTTTGATAACAACTGCTCAAATATTGTGCTGCACAAAATTACTCCATCATATAATTTTATAGGGTATCTGTTTTCAGAAAGGATTGTTTGGGGTCTTCAGATAATTTTCTAGCAAAAAAAAAATCGCTGATTTAACGTATATTAAAAAGTTACAAAATTGCCCAGGATGCAAAGACAGGGCAGCTGTACCTGCTAATTCTTTTACACTTAGAGGTCTAATGTATTTTGGTTCTAATTTTACTGAAAATTGTACAGCCCTTTGATCATTGATGACCACAGCAGACATCTGGGGTATGAGTAGGCTATAAGGAGGTTGTATTCTCTAAGTCTGGTATATCATACTCTGCAAGCAGAACTCATTATATCAGCATGTCACTTGTTAGCACCTGAGCATTGCAGAAAAATTGATAGGCACCTTGTACTGCTTTTCCCTCTCCCAGGTTAAGCTGTACCGGTTTCTGCAAGAGGCTGATACCAGATCAAATTCAGATAACTATGTTACTGGTATTTAAAAAAAAAAAAAAAAAAAAACACACAAAAAAAACCTTAGCATTCAGCTTTAACCAAAAATAGTTGCTCTAAAAGCTAATGGTAATGTTAAGAAGTTGCTCTCTGTTATATCGCTGACATATTTGGTAACATCAGGCACCATCTATACAGGGGTCTGGAATTTAAAACAAAAACTACTTATCCAAGGGACTAAAATGGGGTCCCAATCTACTTGTCCTTTATGACAATCCACGTGTCCTGATAAAATAAATAAATATCTATTTTTTGCCAGGATGGAAAATATGAGGGGTTGATGTCTTTTATTAGGTAGAGGGTTGTTGTTAGGAATGTCTGAACAGCCAAGTCAAGTTCCAATGTCCACTTTAAAATCAGACCTTCTGACACTTTCTGTTTTCAAGTTAAAATCTGTAATCTTTGCTAGAAAATTACATGGAACCCTGGACAAAAGTAAAAAACATAATAATTATATATATATATATATATATATATATATTTATTCTAAATCCATATACCTTTTTTACTTTTTTTTTTTTCTTTTCTTTTTTACTTGGCTTTTTAGTTTTTTTTTTTTAACAGAGAACCTAGAGGATACAATTGCAGTTGTTGCAATTTATTCTATCACATGGTAATTTTTAAACATATTTTATTAAATTTTAATGCAAAAAAACAATATATAACCTGTTTTTTTGGTAAGCTATAAAAGAATGGATACCTAACATGTCATACTTTGACATGAAAATTGCGCATGCTCATGGAATGGAAACAAACTACAATACTTAAAAATCTCCTTAGGCGACGCTATAAAAATTCTTACAGGTTACCAGTTAGAGTTACAGAGGAGGTCTAGCACTAGAATTATTGATTACTATAACATTTGCAGCGATACCTCACGTGTGGTACAAATACTGTTTACATATGCGTACATGACTTATATATGTGTTCGTCACTGCAAGCTGTCCCTTTTTTTATTTCAATGTTTTTATTAATTAAAGAAATACATAAAAAGGAATAAAACCCACAATTGTGGGTGACAGGATTCAAAATAGTAAGCCTAGTAACTAAGGAATGATACAATCAAAGAAAAATAACAGGGTGAAGAAACGAACTAAGTAGCTAGGCATGAAACCAAACAATCCCTCAAGTGCATGCTAGAGTCCAAGGTAAACTACCAGGCAGCAATAGTCTGACATAAAATATTCAGTGAAAATAAAGTATCTCTAAACATAATCAATCCTTAGTCAAATATCAGCATATATTGCAACAAAGTGGGATGTCGGAATCGAAACTATGGAAAACAATAGTCTGAAACAAAAAGGAAGGAAAATAAAGGCAAGGAAGAGTAGAGTAAAGGAGGATCAGCCAGGAGTCTTCTAAGTAACAGAAAAAATATTGATTCCATGGTTCCCAAGTACTATCAAATTTTAGAAGTAGTGTTGTTAAGAATACTAGTGAGCTTATCATTAATCATGATCCAATTGAGTTCATTTTTGACATAGTCAAGCGGTATCACAGATTGCTTCCAGTATTTGGCTATTGTAATTCTCGCCACCAGGAGAATATAAAGAATCAATTTAACCAATTTCTTGGGGATTATTATTATTATATAGGATTTATATAGCTCCAACAGTTTGAGCAGCTCTTTACAATATAAGGGAGACAGTACAATTACAATACATTTCAGTACAGAAGGAATGTGAGGGCCCTGCTCGTGGAGCTTACAATCTAAAGGGGGAAGTCTGTGGGCAGTTGCTGAAAAAGGGCCACCTCTGGGGACCTATGAACGTTCAAGCTGTCCCTTTTTTAAATTTATTTTTGATCACTTTTATTGCTATCACAAGAAATGTAAACATCTCCTATGGTAACAAAGCATGACAGGTCCTTTTTATGGAGAGATCTGAGGTCTATAAGACCTGAGATCTTTCTCTCTACCCTGGAAAGCATCAGATCAAAAAAAAAAAAAAAAAACCTCTCCCACTGCTTCTAAAAGCAATCTGAGCGGCTAATCAGCTGCTTGGATCAGTTTTAGTGAAAACAGAATCTCCTCCTGAAAATAAAGGAACCCCTGCTGTTTGCCCACAGCAGGGTAAATGGGAAAAAAAACAAACTACCTGCCTCGTGCCTGGAACTGCATGTCCTGGGAATTGGGCGATAGGATTTGCACATCCCTGTATGTATGTATGTATGTATGTTACATATGATATATGTAAGGTAATACAAAAGCTTAGTCTTCGTTGCTCACTCTGATTTACTTCAGTTACTATTCATTTTTAGCCTTCTAGTCAGGGATGTATAGTTTACTGTTTAGCTTTTAACCTCGCAGCAATTACTTTATTTTGGCACACCACTGTAAATAACTTTTTTTTTTTTTCTTTCTTTTTAATCCATGTATCCATTACCTTCATGCATTTTGACTTATGTACGACTTTCCTAATGGGTAGCATCTTTGCACTTCTTTTATTTCAGCCTGCTATTGATTTGCCTGTGAAGAAACCTCGGAAACGTATCCGATACAGAAAAGGTAAGGTCATAATATACTTTTACGGTCTTTGTTGTCATTTGTACGTTACTATAACACTGACAAATGTACAAAAGAACAATCCTGGAGTGTCCTGAACATAAGGAATTTTTATTAATGAATGCTAATTAATTTATTTCTCATGTTCTTATGGATCCATATAAAACCTCCAAAGCTTCAGGCTGAATGTTACTCATCCTTCTTTTTTTTTTTTTTTTTTTTTTTTTCCCCCCCCAGCAACCGGTAGGCTGTCTGAAAATCGGAAGAGGCGTAAACGGTTAAGACTTGCTGGCAGGATCAAGAAGGAAAAGCACCTGTCCTCTCGGGAAGCTTCAAATTCGGAGGTAACAGATTTTTATTTGTTATGTTGCTATGCTGTGCGTATAATAGGACAAGTGATTTCTCTGTGTCTCCTCTTGGGTAATATGGTTCACTTCTAATCATCTTTTACACTTTGATCGAATAAGATTTGTTTAAATTAGCTTTCAGTTTTGCCTTGCATAGAGGCACAACTTCATCTACCACAGTACTATATAGTATGTTTAAATATATGTACACATTTAACAGTTTGTAAGTGTAAAATAACCAAAATGCATTTAACATTTTTGTCTTTTTTTTTTTTTTTATCACATGAGCAGAAAATGTTTGTATACAAATACAGTGGATATAAAGAGTCTACACACTCACACTAAAATGTCAGGTTTCTGTGATGTAAAAAAATGACACAAAGATAAATCATTACAGAACTTTTTCCACCTTTTTAATGTAACTTATAAACTGTACAACTAAGTTGAACAACAAACTGAAAACTTTTAGGTGGAGGGAATTAAAGGTGGAAAAAGTTCTGAAATGATTTATCTGTCTCATTTTTTTACATCACAGAAACCTGACATTTTTAATATGTGTGTTTTTATATCCACTGTATATTCAAAGGTCAACACCAGGCATGATCTTGGTTGCATAGTTACATATGTAAGTGCATATTTCATATCTGATCGGCTGCTGTGAAAGCGAGTTATCATTTTAGTAGTTGGCGCTACTAGTAATGGTCACAGCAATCTTTCGTGTACTGTGCTGCTTGGCACCACAGCCATTCACAGAATACCTTGTATTTTTTGAGTGAATGTAAGGCTTTCTCTTGACAAGATGGAGATTGTGATGTCATCGCCGCAGCTCTCCTCCTTGTCCAATCAGAGAATGCCTTCACTGAAAAAATAAAAAGTGTTCTTTGAATTGTGATGGTGCTGATCAAGCTACTTGTCAGTGTTCAGTGGTGAAGCCGCATGGCACAGAACCTGAAAGATTGCAGCAATCACTGTGATTGATAGCTTCCTCAGCAGTCTATCCAGTATGAACTTTGCCTTGGTCCAAGCTGGACCAACGTAACCATGCAATTAAGATTATACCTGCAGTTCAGCTTTTAAAAACGTAAGAATTATTTATGTAGGCTAATTACTTATTGTCATATTAACTGACGCTGCTAACTTTGGTCTAGGCGTTCATTTTTGTAATTATGCCTGTTCCTAAAGGAGTTAAAAAAAAAAAAAAAAACGCATTTGATGTAAATGTGTAATTATGGCTTTAAGTAACTATATGATGCTGTGGTTTACATTGTGTGGTGTTTCTGTATAGGGTGAAAGTAATGATGTTGGTGCAGCCAGTCCAAGTGACACAGCTGAGGAGGGACTAGATCAGGAACATGGAGGATCTTCTAAGAAGAGCTTTGAGAGAGGTGGAGGGGGAGCAGCCATGAAAGAGAATGTGTGCCAGGTAACTGTTCAGCCCCTGAATTGAATAAACCCTAAAAATCTTTGCCTTGCTTTACACACATTTTATTCTGCATTTTAAATCAACTTCGAGAAGCTATAATGCATTTTGAGGGTTTGTTTTGGGTTGTTCCTAAGGTCATCTGAAAGTTGTCTGGTGTGACGTTCACCCTTTTAATGCGATTTGCCGTTCAATATTTTCATTATTTTTATATACTGGTTGTAGGCTTCTCTCTAGTTGGCGAGTATAAATTACATCCTTGCTTAAAGGCTCCCTACAAATGTGATTCAGCTAGTCTCAAATATCTGTTCTCCTTGCATCAAGATACATTAAATATGGTTGACTCATATGCATAAACAATTACAAACTATATACTGAAATAAAATTCAATATACAATATTTGTTTAGGTTAAATTATACTGATCTATTGAACAGATCGGTTTCCTAAAGAAGAGTATTTTTCACTTTGAGGACAATTTCCAAAAAGCCATATAGGGATCACATAATTTATTCAGGTGGTAGAAAATCCCTTGCAAAGTAATGCCAGAGCTTGATAATGTTAAGGATTTAAAATGTTCCCAATGAAAAAAACTTTTCAAGTCTGCCCATGTGTAGAGTATGAATAACTTATTTTGATTTTTATCTGGGTGAGTACCTAAATATATGCGATGCTAAAAGATAAACTTTTATTTCTAGGAAACTGTTGAAGACAAACTAATGCATCTTTGTCAGTTCTGTTCACTCCTTCTCACCATTTACAGAAAGGAGGGAATGTCTTGCTCATTTAGCTGTATGCGTTTTGAATTGTACTGGACAGCAAGGGGTTCATATTATACAGTTTACACATTAAAGTAAAATAGCAACTGCTGAAAACAAGTCGGACCCGGAGACCCAAGTATTAAAACCAGCCAACATGTTTGTAGCATTTGGTAATGTGATAAAGGATTAGAACGTTTATGAACTTGCAGTGTATCCCAGCTTGGCAGATTTCTCTTCACTTCCTGTCTATTTGATGGGTGTCAGACAGAACAGAAAGTGAGGGTAAATCCCCTCAATGAGAACCCTGCAAAAATAAAAAGAAGCAGTGTGGAACAGTTGTCTCCAAACTGGCCCGGGAGCCAGATGTGGCTTTTTGCTTGCCTTTATCTGGCCCTTGGGGCACAATTCCCCCCACTGACACCAAAAATAGGGCATTGTTCATTCCCACTGACCCCAGGACATTTTCTACTCCCACTGGCCACAGTCTGGCCCCCCTAAAGTCTGAAGAACCATAAACTGGCTCTTTGTTTAAAAAGTTTGGAGACCCCTGTTGCAGAGGGTGGAACGTATAGAATTTCTTTCAGGCTTTTGTTTGCATTATCTAGATGATTGGTGTCTGGACAGGAAGTGAAGGTAAATATCAGTGGGGGGCACTTTTTAAAAGCCAACACCAAACTCTTCTCTTCAGGTCAGGCAGCTAATAAAAGTCTGCTGAAGTTAGGGATTAATCAGCCTAGAGATAATATTGCACGTAATTTGATCTTGGTGTATTTCCACTTTTGAAAACAAATTGGGATAACCCCGAATGTATATTTGTCACATGGCATAACAAAAAAAAAAAAAAAAAACATTGCTACTTACAATTTTAGATGTTTTTCTGATAACTCTAGCACTGAAAAAAAATTATTTAGTTCTCCTTGTGTAAGTGGAGTTGGAAGCTGTGCTTGGCATAATTAGCCCTCTGCACTGTGCTGGCAGACCTCATTATCAGACGTAAACAATGGTTGTCTTTTCTACTGGCGCAGACTGCCTCTCATATACTTGCAGTCAGTGATGACGCCTGCTTTTTTTTTTTTTTTTTTTTGAGGTTTATATTAAAGAGAAAAATATAGATATGTAACATATATTGACTGCAAAAGTGGAAATACACTGTAATGACTTCCCGCCCAGCGTGAGTTTTTATATTTTAGGTACTGTAATGTGTCGCTATTACACATGTGCACAATTTTAAATTATTAGTATACAGTATTTATATAGCGCCAATAGTTCGCTCAGCGCTGTACATTACAATGGGAGACAATACATGAGACAGTACAATGACAATACAGTGTGATACACGAGGGGTTCGAGGGCCCTGCTCTTTGGAGCTTACAATCTAGGACTTGACATGTTTGGCATCTATTTACTCGATGCAACATCATCTTTTATATTTTACAAAAAATATGTTTAGGTTAGCATTCCTGTCTGGTTTTACTGCTATCTAGGGCTCTATTAGAGCTATTTCTCCTTTCCCATCTTTTCTCTTCTAAGGACAATGTTATGACTAATGGGAAGTAAGTGGACATTTGCAAAATGGAAAAGGATGACAAATAAGCTGACAGCGCTTCTAACATTCCTCTTCTACTAATTACTTCTGTGTTGCTGTTGGAGATTTTCCCTTCAGTTCCTGTCCTGGGGACAGGACAGACACCTGACTTGGGTTCTAATCCTTTCCTGCTCGTTTAAAAAAAAAAAAACATTCTGGCTATATATGCACTTATTTGTTCTGGCCAGTGAAAGACTGTTTTTTGCTTTCCTCTGCATAAAATGTTGTGTAATATATTGGGTCATAATGCATGTCCAGTTGGTGCTTTTATTTCCTTGATAATAGGTCTGTTTAGTTTGTGTATTTGTCTATATTGTAGTAGCCTTCCTGACACTTTTGGTTATTAAATACTTGGCTTTAAAAGTGGTGGTTCATCAGTTTCATGTGTTTCTTTACAGGTCTGTGAAAAACCAGGGGAACTGCTGCTGTGTGAGGCTCAGTGTTGTGGAGCATTTCACTTGGGGTGCCTTGGTATGCGTGACATGCCTCGGGGAAAGTTCATCTGTAGTGAGTGTTCTTCAGGTACGTGTAGGATTGTTCTGTAACATTAGGTAAAATGAGATTATTTTTTCCACATGTCCACCAAAGTGAAAATTCTACGGTTCATCCCTGCTTTTCATACTGCAAAATACATAAAAAGATATAATGCATGGCTGTACATGGTATAAGTATGAAATGTTAAAAGTTGTAAGATGAAAGATCCAATTTAAACCAGTTCACAAAATTATTACCAATGTTCCAGATTACAAATATGCTGATAACGTTAATCAGTATTCTGTTAATGTTCAATTTGGCTATCCAGATTAATTTATTTCTTCTTGTCCTAGGTGTCCATTCATGCTTTGTGTGCAAAACCTCTGATTCTGGGGTGAAACGCTGCTCTCTAGCTCTGTGCGGGAAGTATTATCATGAAAACTGTGCTTTTAATTATCCCCCCACTTTACAGCTTAATAAAGGCTTCCGCTGTTCTTTGCATGTGTGCATCACCTGCCATGCCAACAATCCCAGCAACCCATCAGCTTCTAAAGGTAAGTCTGAACAGAATTTAACGGCAAGAGATCCTCAAGTTCTGAGTAGCAGGAGTACCAGCCACCTTAACCATTTAAAGATGAAGTATACCTTTCCCTAGCTTGACAGCGAGACCTACACTGACAGAAGCTCTTGCATGAATGAAGCCTGAAACCGTACTTGCAGGTTTCATTGCTAAAAACACTCTAACAGTTTAGTGTATTTTGATAAGCATGTATATACTAGCCTTTTCCAACAAAGGACCCATGAAATCCTAGGGTTCCTCCAGAGGTTGCTAGGAGGTTCCTTGAGCTTTGAGCAATTTCTGCTTTTGTTTTTGTTTTTTTTGTAAAGGGGGATTCTTTCCAGTGACCACAAATGTGAGGACCATTCTTCCCACTGGGCATCAAACTAATGTACTGTGAGTTGTTGACATTGGCAGGGGTTCCCTCAGACAGGAATGTGATTTTAAGAGTTCCTCTTTGCTTAAAAAAAGTTGAAAATGTCTGGGATATGCAGATCAGGGACAGTTGTGATTAAAATATGTAGAAACCATAGAATACTTGTTTGCTCTCTTTTGGTCTGTTAACCAAATACTTCAAACTTATATTTATCTGTTTTATAAAATGCAAATGCAAAAGAAAAAGAAAGTTGATTCTGCCAGAAATCTGTACAGTTTGCAAGGTTTTCTCAATGTTATTGAAAAATGTTTGGATTTCAGAACACAAGTATATAAAATGTTTCTTTTTTGGCCTTTAGATACACATCAATTCTTTTAAATTCACGACTGATTCTGTTTGAGAAGGTGACAAATTTGTGCTGGTCTTTGCAGTTTATATAATTTAGCAATCTTTATGAAAAAAGGGTCTAAACTTTCTGTAAATGTGTGTGTGCTTTCCTTAGTGTAAACCTAATTTACTGTAATAAAAATATGAATGAAGTTTATTCTTTTACAACAGGTCGATTGATGAGATGTGTCCGTTGCCCGGTTGCATATCATGCCAACGATTTTTGTGTGGCTGCAGGAACAGTTACCCTTGCTTCTAATAGCATTATTTGCCCCAACCACTTTACTCCACGTAGGGGATGCAAGAACCACGAGCATATCAATGTTAGCTGGTGCTTTGTGTGCTCTGAGGGTAAGGTCATCATTCTGTCGTCTTCTGTAGCAACTGTGAAATACGTATTCTCAGTTATGTAGATTTTTATTACTAGATTGTTAGAATGTATACTGCTGCCGACAAAATTGCACATTACAAACAAAAAACAGTAGACCAGTCCTGTGGGGTATAACTTCTCCCACAACCAGCATGTTTCAGTGTTTGCTAATGTTCTTAGGACATTGGATGTCTCCGTTCTGCAAATTTCAGGACCCTCTTTGTGGATTTCTTAATTTGCCAACTGCTCATGGTTTTATGCTTGGCCTCCCTAGATTATTATTTTTTTTATTGTTTCAGGTTGTGGTCATCTCAGTGTTGGAATTTTGTTTTCAGTTGATGGTACATGGGATGTATTACTCCGGTTCTACAAATTGAATTAGCTATGGCTAGCTGTTATTTAGTAATTACCAGTAAAAGGTGTTTTTCTTGGTAACAAGTCCAGAAGCGCTTAGAACTGCCTGTCTTATAATCAAGGACTCCGAAATATACTGTATATGTATATTCTCACTGACTTGTCTGTACAAAATGAAGGGCCAGATAGACATTACAATGGCTCATCTGGAGCTTTTTTTTTTTTTTTTTTTTCCCTTCTCCTCTTGCCGTTACATTAGGTGGAAGTCTCCTTTGTTGTGAATCTTGTCCAGCTGCTTTTCACCGAGAGTGTCTTAACATCGAAATGCCAGAGGGAAACTGGTTCTGCAATGACTGTAAAGCTGGCAAAAAACCTCATTATAAGGAAGTGGTGTGGGTAAAGGTTGGAAGATACAGGTAAAGAAATTGACTGAGTGGGAACCACCAAACCACATTCTTTTAATTTGTCATGAAGGATTTGGTAACCAAATATTTTCTGTTCCTTCTCAGGTGGTGGCCAGCTGAGGTTTGCCATCCAAAGAGCATTCCTACAAACATCACGAAGATGAAGCATGACATTGGAGAGTTTCCGGTTTTGTTTTTTGGGTCAAAGGACTATTTGTGGACCCATCAGGCCAGAGTGTTTCCATATATGGAAGGAGATGCCCTCAATAAAGATAAAATGAGCAAAGGGGTTGATGCAGTCTACAAAAAGGGTATCTCATATATGATTTCTCGTGGTTTGTAGATCGTGACACCAGATATACATTCCTTGCCTTCTAATTGATTTTGATTTTATGTAGGGCTAATGGAAGCTGCAGAGAGGTTTGAAGAACTAAAAGCACAGAAAGAAATGAGGCAGCTACAAGAGGAAAAGAAAAATGACAAAAAGCCTCCACCATATAAGCACATTAAAGTGAGTCGTCCTCTCCTTTTAATTTTGACTATCCCAAAGTATTCTTTCTTATTGGCGCTTTACAGCACTTTAAAGAATGAGACCACCTTATGTGAAGATGAACACCACCCGTTTATTGATCAAACAGAGGAACAATAAAACGCTGCCATTGCTGACTTAGTTCAATACTTCGAGCCACTGACCTGCAAGAAATATGGCGAACAGGAGTTTAGATTTAACTGACTGCAAACACTTTTCACATCTGTGAATCATTACATGCTAAAATCAAGATTAAGTTGGCAACCCTAGTGCTTTCACCTTTTAAAGATCAAGTTGGCGGTGCTTCCATAATTTAAAATTTTAACAGGTTTGAAGTAAAAAATTCTGCTTAGGAGGAGTTACTGTATGGCAACTGCAATTAATGAGTGAAGGACCCCCTCTCTGTGCTTCCCGTTTGAAGCATGTTTTGAAATACTTAGGGATCTAGGGCCAGTTCACACCATGCACATGAATTGCACAGGAACGCACAGAGGTTCGGTGCAGTGCAATTTCACCCCATTCATTTTGAATGGGTTAAATCGCAGGCACTGCACCCAAAGTAGTGCATGTACTACTTTAAAAAGCACTGCAACCGGATCGCGTAGTACAAAAGTATCATGCGATCCTGTGTGGGCAAACACTGCGTTTGTGAGCTGTGTTTGGGATGCCATCAATTTCTATTAACATTTGCTGCTGATTGCAAGCAGGATGGAGTGTGTTTTGCATGTGGTGTGAATAGCATGGGTGAATAGCTTGTTCCAGTGTGGGCATGGTGTGAACTGGCCCTTACTGCTGTCTTTTTAGACTAGGCTTCACCTCCTGTCCTGTGAAAGTGCTTTAAATTGCCAGTAAGGGTGCTGAAAATTCATGACCCTAGTAATAAACTGAAACCACCCTAAAGGACTGTGCAGGGGCTGGCCAACAAAGGGTACAGCATATACTTTTCTTTAAAAAATCTACATGGGAAGCATTGGGGGTCAAGTTTTGCTGCTCCCATGTTCATATACGATTACAAACTAGGAAAGCAATGTTTTTGTAACAACACATGTTGAATAAGCGTATGTACACTCTAACATTATACTTCTGTTTTGTGCTGCCTTTTGGTCTGTTAAATACACCAGCATTTCAAATACCAGTTGATTATGTCAGCTTTTAGAGCTGTCCTGTGTTATTAGCAAGTCTGACTCTCCTAGTTTTTATCTTGGACTTTAAAATATTTAGTCTTTTGTTTTAGAAATGAAATAGTAGGGGATTTGAGTAGTTTAGTAGTTGCAATAGACAACTGGAAGATCTGACACTACTCTGTCTATGTACTGTGTGTTGTCATCCCACAACAGGATTTAGGAGTGGAGTGCATGTCTTGCAGTTAACAGGTATTTTTCTCTAGTTGTAGGGCCTTACAGGGATAAAATGGTGGGCATGTACATTAATTGGAGATGTACTGCATATGTGATGGATTTTTTTCCCTGATGTGCAAATTTTTTTTTTTTGCAGGTAAACAGGCCAGTTGGGAAGGTTCAGATCCTTACAGCTGATCTGTCAGAAATCCCTCGTTGCAACTGCAAGGCAGCAGATGATCACCCATGTGGTCAGGACTCTGAATGCATTAATCGCATGCTGCTATACGAATGCCATCCTTCAGTTTGCCCAGCTGGTGAGCACTGCCAAAATCAGGCTTTCTCCAAGCGCCAGTACCCAGATGTGGAGATCTTCCGAACTTTGAGCCGGGGCTGGGGATTACGCTGCAGAACTGATATAAAAAAGGTGACCTTGTTTTTTTGTTATGGCTGGTGGTATTGTATGACTGTGGAATGCAGATTTTTCTTAGGAAGGTGCAGTATGGTTACACCCTTCCATATTTAAGTACTTGTAGGATTCAGAAACTGCTCAAGGTGAGAGTTATGATTATTCTGTAAATCTTTGAGCAAATGTGATTATTCTGTAAATATTTTTTTAATGCCATGGGGTATATGTACTGGTGTCCCGTGTTAGGAGATACAGTGATCATTCAAACAAATTACACATTTTTTTTTTTTTTTTTTTTTTTTAGGGTGAATTTGTTAATGAATATGTGGGAGAAATGATTGATGAAGAGGAATGTCGAGCTCGCATTCGCTATGCTCAGGAACATGATATCACAAATTTCTACATGCTAACCCTAGACAAGGTAATTTTTGCAACTTGGAAAGCTGACAGTCTTTCTTTTTCTTAGTTTGAAAAACTGGCATTCCATGCATTCCACAATAAATTGTTCTGTAGAACTGCATTGCCAACAGGACCTCATCCAGGTCAGGAAGTTGGAATAGACTTTTATTAAAGAGTTTCTAAACACAAAAATAAAAATGTAATTTCTTAATCCTACAAGGGACACAGAATGAAGTAATTCAGGTACATTTGGGCTATGCTGCTGAATCCAGGAGATTGGACACTGGCCAACAAAGCTGTAAAGACTGCCTAGTGTAATTATGTAAAAAAAAAAAAAAATCCAGCAGTGCTAGCTGACCCAGAAAACAGAAGGTGCAAGCTTACCCTCTCATCCTAGATTCTATCTCTGAATCCACAGACATAACTCCAAGTCTTAAAGGTACCATATTGATCCTTGCTGACGCAGTTTGTACATGGCTACACTTGGATCTACCTGCTTCAGCTATTTACTCTTTCTTCTCTGTCCTGCTCCATGATCACCATCCTTTAATGTACTCCAAGAAAAGGATTCTAAGTAAACAAGAATATTGTATTGTGTGTGTGTATATGTATATATAATTTTGTTTCAGTTCTATACAATTTATAATAATCTTACTTTGAAATGTTCCACATTATTGTGAAGTGGAAGGAGAATGATAAATGGTTTACAAATAAATATTTGAAAAGTGTGGCATGCATTTGTATTCAGCCCCCCTGAGTCAGTACTTTGTAGAATCACCTTTTGTCTGCAATTACAGCTGCAAGTCTTTTTGGGGATGTCTCTACCAGCTTTGCACATCTAGAGAGTGAAGTTTTTGCCCATTCTTCTTTGCAAAATAGCTCAAGCTCTGTCAGATTGAATGGAGAGCGTCTGTAAACAGCAATTTCAAGTCTTGCCACAGATTCTCAATTGGATTTAGGTCTGGACTTTGACTGGGCCATTCTAAACACATGAATATACTTTGATCCATTCCATTGTAGCTCTGGCTGTATGTTTAGGGTCATTGTCCTGCTGGAAGGTGAACCTCCGCCCCAGTCTCAAGTCTTTTGCAGACACAGGTTTTCTTCTTCGATTTCCCTGTATTTGGCTCCATCTATCTTCCCATCAACTCTGACCAGCTGTCCCTGCTGAAGAAAAGCATCCCCACAACATGATGCCGCCATCACCATGTTTCACGGTGGGGATGATGAGTTCAGGATGATGTGCAGTGTTATTTTTCCACCACACATAGCGTTTTTTTTTTTTATGCCAAAAAGTTCAATTTTGCTCTCATCTGACCAGAGCACCTTCTTAGACATGTTTGCTGTATCCCCCACATGACTTCTCGCAAACTGCAAACGGGACTTCTTATGGCTTTCTTTCAACAATGGCTTTCTTCTTGCCACTCTTCCCTAAAGGCCAGATTTGTGAAGTAATAGTTGTCCTGTGGACAGATTCTCCCACCTGAGCTGTGGATCACTGATGCCCCTCCAGAGTTACCATGGGGCTCTTGTCTGCTCTCCTTGCCCGGTCTGTCAGTATAGGTGGACAGCCATGTCTCGGTAGGTTTGCAGTTGTGCCATTCTCGTTCCATTTTTGGATGATGGATTGAACAGTGCTCCGTGAGATGTTCAAAGCTTGGCATATTTTTTTAAAACCTAACCCTGCTTTAAACTTCTCCACAATTTTATGCCTGACATATCTGGTGTGTTCCTTGGCTTTCATGATGCTCTTTGTTCAGATGTTTGTTAGAGAACATTATTGAAGGCTTCACAGAACAGCTGTATTTTATACTGAGATTAAATTACACACAAGTGGACTCTATTTACAAATTAGGTGTCTTCTGAAGGCAGTTGCTTCCACTAGATTTTAGTTAGGGGTATCAGAGTAAAGGGGGCCGAATACAAATGACGGCCACACTTTTCCGATCTTTAATTGTAATAAATTTTGAAAACCATTTATCATTTTTCCTTCCGCTTCACAATTATGTGCCACTTTGTGTTGGTCTATCACATAAAATACATTTTACATTGTTGGTTGTAATGACATTGTGATATTGTACTGACAATATGTGGAAAATTTCAAGTGGTATGAATACTTTTCCAAGGCACTGTATATCTATAAGAGGTACTTTGTTTGCTTCACACAATTGTGCAAATAATGTCTCTCTTCGCAGTGCAAAAAAGTTTTTCTTTCTTTTTTTTTTTTTGTTTTGCTTTTTTCTAAGGTGTGGATATCTACAGTTGCACCAACGTACAGTGTGGTTTTACACCTTTCAGTGATCGCTCTCATCCTTATTTGACACAGACACTCAACCTCTGTGGTGGACCTTGTATATTGTGTATTATACAAGTTCAAACAGTGCTGAAGTATGGATTAACGTATAGTGCAGACTGCGCAATCTCACAGTCTCACATGATCAGTGCATTATAGCTGCACTAACTAAAAATCAGTTAGCATATGTTAGCAGCAATGTGAGTAATACTATAACCCAGCTCAGTCCGCTTCAGGTTCCTGACATCACTTCAGACATTTCCCTACATGTTGCGTCTCTACAACTTCCTGAGAAATTAAGGGTTAACAACTTCGCTGTTCCAAAATTTGTGAAGGTACATGAGTGGTTAAGCAAACTTGTAGATTAAAAAGGCCTAGATTTATGGGATTTGATCTTGTATACACTACCCA